CCACTAGCAAACAGGAAAGAAAAAAAAAAATGTAAGTGCTGGAAGTTGTCCATGCTGCAAGAGCTTTCTCAGGACAGTTTTCAGCAGGCAAAATGAGGAGGGAAGGTATACTACTCATACCCCAAGCATCACCCAGTCACCATAGGAGAGCAGAAGGGCAATTCAAATAAAAGTTTATAGGAACATTTATTGATCTGTTAAGCATAAAATCCCAGTTTATTATCTACTGCATTAGCAACCTTTAAAACTTCAGTATGCCATGCTCCAAACAGGTCAACACAGTAACAGAGGTTTACAGCCCCACCGAGCAAATGCCAGAAATCAGAAGTGAAAGAGCTGCCATTTCATAACAGTTCAGCGACCTTCTCTTGTTCTGTTGAACGTAAGAAACACTCCATCTCTCAGTGCTACACAGCTTGTAGGAAACCAAAGTCACGAAGGTAACCTCAACAACTGTAAATTCTCTTCCTCAGTTTTAAATACTTGCAGCCCAAGCTCTATCCTTTTGTGCCCGCAAAAGCAGCTGCCCTATTTAAAGCCTGACATTCCAGCTTCCTCCCCCTCTTTGGGGCACCAACAGGATAGTAGTTTCTGCAATGCTACATTCTTGACGTGACAAATTAAGAAAAACCCTGTGCTGAAGAGGATAGCTCTTAAATAGGAAGAGAGTTATGCTAGCACACAGTGCTCCTGGGTACAGCCTGGTCCGTTTGAGACAAGAGCTCTGTACCCAGCTAAGCAGGGAGGTTTTACCTCATACAGTGACTGCACTAACCTTTTCAAAAGATGCTTTTCTCACAGTTCCCAACTCATCTGCCAGAAGAGATCACTGTAGGAGGGCTGATAGGCTTCTTCCCTTCCCTCTCCCAACACTGCTGAATTAAATCAGACTGTTTCAGCACGTATAAATGCACCCTGGCATAAAGCAGGCTGAGGCCAAATACTAAAACATGCTGAGTAGTAGCCCACTTTTGTGGATTTCTTGGCATGCATGTGTAGGCAGCCTACCATAAACACATACTGCCTTTTACCAATTTATTTTCTTTAATAGAAATGGGTCGCTACTACATAATATATTATACTGCATTTTCAAACAACACTATTTTCCTCGTTCCACATCTCTCTATACTGCTCCCTCCTGAAACTCCTTTAAAAGCAGTTCTTTAGAGTGCCTCCGCCTACACATTCTCACCGAGTATTTCCATTAGATGGAAACAACTGATCATCAGTGTAGATAGTCCTTAAAAAACCACAACCCTTCTACTTCAGTGTTTTTCATTCTCTTGCTGCTCATACCTATTGAAAACGAAGTATTCTGTAGCTATTCAAGGTTTAAAAACTCCAAATTTTTTACCCAGATAAGGGTACCAGAAGACCTGGTAAAACACTCCATGGTTATGCAGCCTATATTTGTAAGAAGTTCATGCCCTCAGGTACAGGAAGGGAGTTTGCAGGACCAAAATTAAAATGTTATTATTTTGATTTGATAATTACTCATATTTACAGAACTCAATAGAAAGTGGACATTACCACTGGAAAGTCACACTCCAGTGATAAGTTAAGCAATACATTATGAGTTATTAACAATGACTACAAACAGCAAATTATTCTACTACGTTTTATCATAGAAGGTATTCATGAAAACCTTGTCATTCTCTATTTTTCCCCTTCCTCATGACACAGAATCACGGCAAGCCATTTCTCCATCAGTGGAGAATGACACATATTGCTGTAGCAGAGATAAAAGTTTGGTTCACTTGGTGAAATAATCTCTTAAGAACGACTACCTGTATTTAGAGGGTGGCTTGTTTATTTTTTTAAACTGCTAAACTGAAAATATACTATCAGGAAAACAGAAAGGTAACCTAATGGCAGTCTGAGTAGGAATTACTTGAGAGATTTTCCAGTTTTCCACTTTGACAGAGACCTGTGAAATTCTTCAAAATTTCCAGTTGCCACCCACTTCTGAGCAGGTTTCAGATCACTATTAGTATTTTGCACTACAGTGTCTTGCTCAAGTTTCCATTCCAAAATGGAAGCCCATTTTGTTTGGGCTCTACCAGTCAGCACTCAGCTTCGTGCTCAATAGAAAATAACCCATCAATAACCAGGGGAAAAAACTTCTGGTGATTCACTGACACAGACTATGACCCTCTGTCTTGTTCACGCATCCAGCTGAAAGCAAATTCAGCAGTTTCAGAAGAGAAGACTGTGTTGTCCAGATAGAAGATAATATCTACCTGGTATCAGGTTAAATATATCCAAGTTATAGTCAAACTTGTCTCTTAATGCCTCATTATCTTCTAGCATGACACATTCCCTGCAACCTTCAGCTCATGAGCACTCAGACTGCATGCTGAAATATCACTTCCTGGTCACTGCTGGTTATTCGAAGACACTTCTGCCTCAAATCTGTGATAGCTGCCCTCCAGCTGACTTCTGCAGCTGAAACTGAGTCAAGCTCATCTTCTTGCTACCGTAAACTACAGAGGTTCTCGGTTACTTCAGCCAAGGAGGTTTGCTTTACCCATAAGTAAAAAAACTCACTTGTTTCTCACGCAGGTACTGATCTTAATTGAGGCCAGGGTAAGGTAACATGCAAAGGAAGCAACAACTGATCTATCACTACAGACAAAACAGTTATAAGCACATATGAAAAAATAGGTGCAGAAATGAAAAAGTCACAATTAATCCACATATCCTAATGGGTAACCTTCTGGTTTGATCTTATCAACAGACTTGCTGTCTAGTCCTGACAAAGTGACAGCCTGGGATTCATCAGCCTTGTTTCACTTGTTTCATTTCTGCACTGTTTCTCACCATCTCATGTACCTGACTGCCTTGTAAACAGCCCCTTATCTCAAGAAGTGGTAAAATTCTCTTTCCCCCATTCTCTGGATGCTCACTAGCCTACTCCAAGGTGATAATGTCTCTTTGACTATAGACCACAAGATGTGTTGAGCTCAGTCACCAAAATAGGGTAGTCTTGCTGTTGTTCCCACTACTTATCAGTTTAACCACTAAAACTGACAGAAGACTACCAACACAAGGAAATGCTGCTGTCTTTTAAATAAGTCAAATCAGTTCTTCGATGTCCAAAAAGCACCAGCATGGCACACAGTAAATGGCAAGAATGGGAAGAAAGGCCTTTCCCTCTTGGCAGCAGTGAGCTCAAGCCGTATGTGAAACTGTACCTTACACTGAACCTCACAACCTGCCATAATCCTCATCTTGTAACAACCATATGTAGTGCTTAGGTGTCTATATCCCGCATCACATGGTTCTTGCCTGAGAGCAAACATGATAGCAGTTAATCATTGAGAAGCAACAAATCCCCAAGACCTTTCACCTACCCAACATACATGCATTTGCTCTCCTTCCCTTCTCCCACAAAAAGGCATTCTAGTCCACACACAACTAATTGTGTATACACCTTTCCCTTTCCCCATTATTTTTCAAGAATTGCCCAATCTCTTTCCCAAATGGCTTAAAACCAAAAAAAAAAAAAAATCAGTGTTGGAAGCAACCCGGCAAGGCCCCAGAAGACATAACTGAAGCTAACTTTGCAAGTTACTAGCATCGAGACCTGACTTTTTCCACTATGACACGGCATAGTAACAAAGGCACTAATACAGACCTCTTTCTCGAAGACTTTGCCCAGGGTCTTGCTCACGGCTTGTCACATGAGTCTAAGCAACAGGCAAAATGATAAAGCCTGTGCTGTGAATGGTTAACGTCTAAGCAATGTTCAAGCTTACCCCTCTTACCCACTGGCTATAGACAGTGATAGCACATTACTGTCCATACCTCAGGATTTCACAGAAGAGTAAGTGGCCTGACACTCAAAGGAGTCTGTTCAAGCTTTCTCCTTCTACTGAAGAGTTACCACTCAGGCTGGATTGTATCTTTCTTAACCTCATCTAAATGACAGTCACTGAGAAACCTCAGAAAAATATTTACATTTAGATTTAACTGGCTCCTGCTGAGCTCCTACTAACTCAAGACCTGCTGTTTTGTCTAGCAGTCCCATCATGAGAATTATGGAGTAATGGTAGTATGCAAACACATTGTTCACTTAGAGCAGGTTGCTTAGTCTGTTTTAATGCGAGACATTTCCACAAAATATGTAAGGTCTTTCAGTAACTTAAATT